TCCTACTTGTAGATTGTTCCCGAACTCGTGTAGGCTCAGTATCTACATAAACATAATTTTCAAGATGATTATCAGATGTCTATGTCTTGAAATTAATCTTTAATAGCCTACCAATTTAAGGAATTAATAGTTTAGTCTTTCTCTTTTTTTATATGTGGGAATCGGTTCCCCCCTGGGGGTATCGATTCCCTATAGCATTCTGGAAATTCATATTCGTTGAGGGGGTATCGATTCCCCTTGAATGGGTACCGATTCCCCTAGCCCAGAAATCTTATTTTGAGCTCGAAAATCATCTCATTTCAGCTCAAACATTCATTTTTCACTCCCTTTAATACTCTTAGCTTTCATACACTTACTTAAACTAATTATTATCCATTCAATACCTCTAAAACTAAAAAAACTAATCATCCATATAGAATTTAAGAATCTTACTCAAATTCCAACTTGTTCTAATTTTAATTCTATCACCTCATACTTCTTAATTAACTTGATGACAAGTCAAAAATCTTATTCAAACTTCAAAAACTCATCCATATCAAAATTTCATCTAAAAACTCATTTTCCAAATCTATCTCTAAAACACTTATCTTGTTGTCTTAATGTCATATAAGCTTTCCTTTAGCTTATATAACATCCAAACTTCAATTTCCAAGCTAAAAATCAAAGAAACTACCAAGGTTCAGATTCTTACCTTAAACTTGGGTCTTCACGTTTGGAAGAAGAGAAGAGTGAAGAAGATAAGAAAGAAGGAAGAAGAGATGAGAGGAATCTGGAAACATCACGTGGTTATAATATAACCCCATAAAAATTTTTAATTATTATTTTTCCTTGCAAATGACCATTTTGTCCTTAAATTCATTTCATATTTACTAACTATTATTTTTAAACTATATAACTATTCTACTTTAATCACCAAATTCTGAATTCTTACAATTTAGTCACTAACCCGTTACTTAGGATGTTACACTATAGCTTTCCGTTTTGGGTTAGATGATAATGGTATATAATGAAAGTTAAAATGTAGAATATCCCTATGTTCCAAACTCAAGTGTTAGTATGATCTCATCACGATCGTTTTCTCCATTTGATGATCTCTTGGTGGTTTAGACCATCCGGAGGTAGATACTCCACACTTCGTGCTAGGGATTTATGGTGGATGCATTGTCTTAAAAATAAAATCAAAATCAATCTACCCCACATTATCTTCAGTCAACTAGTTGATGTCATAAACATTGTTCCTTCAAAACATGTCGAAACATTAGTTTATGGATGTCTTCTTAGTAACCTCTTTATCAAACTTGGTCTAGACGTTTCTCTTGACATCCTATCCACTTCAAAATCAAATCAATACAATCCTATCCCACTTCAAAATCAAATCAATCTCATATCCTTGAAGAAAGTGGATTGGAAGCAAGACGAGGTTATCGGTCAATGGGTTTTAGACCCGGAAAGCAAACTCCAGGAGCTAGTTCCTCACGAGCTGCTCCTAGCTCCTCTCGTGCTCCTCCTCCTCCAGCTCCGGCTGATGACGATGATCCTGAATTTCAACAACTTATGCAAGACATCGATGATCACGTACCTGATGACGAGCCTGCACCGGAACCTGCTCCACAAGAAGAATAAATGCCTCCGTATTTTCGTTCGATTTTTAAGACATTTGATTTACGATATGCGTCCATGGATTCACGCTTCACATTCATTGAGTCCCAGCTCTCTACCTTGGGAGCTCGACAACAAGATATGAATGATCGTTTGGATGCACTCTCGCTTGAGATGAGAGCACGTTACCCTCCTCCTTCTCCCAATCCTTCAATGGATGAATAGACTTATCTTTCTTTGATTGTTTTTGGGATGAACTTGAATTGTTAAAACATTTTGGATTATCTTTCTTTGATTGTTGGATGACTGTTTGATATTTATATATATTTTGGTTTTTACAACATATGCATCATTTATTTTTTAGTTGAAATATGACCAATTTACCATTTCACATTTTTATTATGAATATTGATTATGAAACTAATGGCTAACTCTCTTTTGATTGTGATCTTAGCAGCTTAATATATATATATATATATATATATATATATATATATATATATAATATGGCTATGTTTTCAAAACCTTGTTCAAATCGATTTTTAGTCTTTTTGATTTAAAAAAAGGGGAGAAATGTTAAGTGTTAAAATGTTTTTAAAAGGGAAAAGTGTTATAGTAAGGGGAGTAATTTTTCTAAATTGAAATTGATTTCAAATTTTTAGAAAATCTTAAATAACACAAATGTTTTGTTATATCAAAAAGGGGGAGATTGTTGAAAACATTTTGTGTTTCGATATAACAAATTAAATTTAAATGAATTTTAAGATTTTACAAATGATTTTCTAAGTATATTCGATTTAATTAATTGAATATCAAATTATTACTCCAAGTCTTTTAAGATCAACTTCAAACCTTACTAAATGTGTAAAATTGTATTTTATACTTAATATATTTTTGAAACAAATTTCACAAAGTATTTAAAGTATTTTGAACCAAAATCAAGCCTAAAATCAATTTTTCAGAGTGATGCACCGATGCACCAATCCATGCATCAATGCACCATAAATTAAATTGAACATCGAATGCATTTCATGCATCGATGCACATACCATGCACCGATGCACTGAGGATTTTATGAAAACATCGAATGCATTTGATGCATCGATACACCAGCAATGCATCGATGCACTATGGCTATTTTGAAACATCGAATGCACTTGATGCATCGATGCACTCTTAGTGCACCGATGCACTAAGGGTCCAACGGTCAAAATATTTGAATTTTACACTGATGCAGCGATGCACCATGGGTATGCACCGATGCACTGACGCTCCCAACTGTTTTAATTAATTGTTTTCACACTTAAACGGCTATATTGACTCCATTAAGCATCCTCAACATTCAAAATCATTTGAAGCTGTATTTAAACAAGCTTAGAAGGCATTGATCAATAACAAGAAACATCAAGCAACTAGAATCAAGAGAGAATCAAAGAGAAAGCATCAAACCTCAAGTTTGAGCATTTCAAGCCTATTTTTCATTCAATATTCATTTTGCTTTCAAGAACACTTTTTGTGCTCAATTGTATTCATTCTTGAGTGTTCTTTTCTTTGTTCTAGAATTATGCAAACAATCTACCTTGTGAGGATTTCCTTGTAAGTTTGTAAATTTGTATTGTTTTCTTTGGGAGAGAGTGTTCTCAAGAATTTGGGGTATAATTCTTGAGGGTTTGTAAGGTTACTCTTTGTCCTCAAAAGAAAGACAAATTAGTGAATTTGTGGAAAATCCTTAGTGTGGATAGCTAAGGTAGTGGACGTAGACTTTGGTTGAGAAAGTCGAACCACTCTAAATCGATATGCAATTTCTTTCAATTTTCTACAAAAGCTTCCACCAAAATTTTTATTGCCAATTCACCCCCCTCTTGGCCAATTCCGTCAATCTATTAACTCAACAAGATTTGGATTAGGAAAAGGTTGTGGGTTTTGAGATTGTGTTTGGTATTGGAAATGTGGTGTAACAAAATTTTCTTGGTGATGAAATTGTGGTGGAACCATTAAATTTTGAGGTTGATAACAACGCTGTACATTGTGAGCACTATAAACTGGGGTTGAAGAACTGAGTTGATTACTACTCGCTACTGACCTAACTTCACTACTTCTAGGTTCAACAACATACAATGTAACATCATCTTGCGAAACACTAATGTAAGCAATGAATCGTTCAACATCTTCATTGTCGGTTAACAAATAAACTTTACCTTTTTCTGATAAGATACCTAAATCCACTTAGAGGCTCTAAATTCAATTTCTTTGCAACACGTAACATTAGAGTTTCATAAGTTAACTTTTTTAATGACAGTTTTAGTTGAAGATTCATGGGTAAAGACACATATTGTAAAACACCATGAACATTCTCCCATGACCCTCCAAAACACAAATCTATCCAAACATGATCAACATTAGATAATTTCATTCTACAAATTGTAAATTAATTTACTAAAAAACGAGCTATAAACTAGATATCAGCACTAACTTAGAGAAAAACATACCTTTATTAAGTTGATAGTTGATAATTTGGGAGAGAAATCATTGAAAAATTGTATAGAAATAAAATTATGTAAAAAAAATTAGAGATGGGGAAGGATGTCGTTGGATATAGGAACGGATGTCGCCGGAGAGAGTGATAGATGGAGATGAAATGAGTTGCGATTTAGGGATTTAGGTTGTGAGTTGCTGCTGTTGCGTAGTTATATACCCAAAATATTTGTGTTGCGAAACTAAAACCTGTTGCGAATTCGAAAATCGAGTTGTGAATTCGAAAATCGAGTTGCGAATTTGAAATTCAGTTGCGAATTTGAAATTCAGTTGCGAATTTGAAATTCAGTTGTGAATTTGAAATTAAGTGTTGCGAATTTGACTTCTGTGTTGCGAATTTGGAAACTGGGTTGCGAAATAGGAGTTCGCGTTGCGAATTTATTGGTCATTTTTGCAAATCCAAAAAAAGTTGGTTAAAATCGTATATTATAAGGCATTTTCGGTCACTGAGGTTATTTTCTCATAATTAAATAATTGATCTGGTTTTGCATAATGTTGATTGTAACATCATGGTTTAAAAATGGAAAATATTTTTTAAAATAATAATAGTAATTAATTTTATTAAATAAATATGTGAAAATATGATGAAAATTTGTAATCTCAAAAAGTAAAATTTATAAGGTAGTATATGTTTAAAATCTTTTTTTTAGGCATTGATAATATATATAACCTATAGATGTAATTACTTGAACTCAAAATATTTAAAAAAATATTTTTTAATCACTAATATCACTTAATAAATTTAATTAATTTAATAATTTAAAACATAAAATAATTAAATAATTATCATGTAAAAAGACGACCACACATTCAATCCTGAAATTAAAATGTATCGTTAACGAAGCCGATGTGAGGAGGCCAACTTCAGTTTAGTCCAAACCATAATAAATCCAGAAGGATTGTCTCCTTTCCCTTCCCTACAGACACAGACAAATATCCCATAAAAGGGGAAACTTCAAGTCCAGGTCTTCCTTTTCTGGAATCGCCTCATCTTCCTTCCCCCTTTTCAGTTTTCCTTAATAAAAAAAGGAAAAATCCAACATGTTCTACAGAGGGTAAAATTCACTTCCCCTTTTTTTTCTGCTTCTTGTTTTTTTTCATGTCTGATTTTATTTTCTGGGTTTTGTTCCTTAAGTCTGTGCTCGAAGAATTTTTTTAGTCGAGATTGATGGATTTTACTGTTTTGCGTTTTGTTTATTTATTTTCATTTGGGATTGTTATTTAGGGCTTATAGCTGAATTTTGGTCGTGATGAAAGAATGAAAAGCAATAAGTGAAAGAGAGAGAGAGAGAGAGAGATGGGTTTCGAGCTTAAATGGTTTAAGATGATAGTTATCTAATTGATTCCTTTATTTTCCCTATTTGAATCTTAAATTATAATCAAATTGATGGATCGTTTTATACATGGTTAGCTATGAATTTATATAAAATTAATGTCATATAATTGATTTTTCATTTTTCTGTGAAGCACTGAAAACACAAGTGTCCCTTCATTATTGCATTGTTATTATATCGAATTTTAGGTTTCAGTGCTGACAATATGTGTTGAAGTATTGACTGGTCTTCTCTGTTGCCTTGATGATCTTTGGAAACTGAAGTAAATTTACTGATGGTGCTGATGGGCGTGAAATGGGTGCAAAACGTCAGCGGATGATCGATCAAGGCCCTTTATTCTATGGTCATTCGCCGGGTTCAAGCTTTATGTACACTGCCCCTCCACCTCACTCGTATGTTAGCCAACCTTCACCGTTCCCTGTTGTTCGACTTCGTGGTCTTCCCTTTGATTGCACAGAGGCTGATATGGTTGAGTTCTTCCATGGTCTGGACATAGTTGATGTCCTGTTTGTCCATAGAAACGGCAAGTTCACGGGTGAGGGTTTTTGCGTTTTGGGTTATCCTCTTCAGGTTGATTTCGCCCTCCAGAAGAATAGGCAAAACATGGGCAGGAGATATGTAGAGGTTTTCAGAAGCAAGAGACAGGAATATTATAGGGCAATAGCTAATGAAGTGGCTGATGCTCGCGTCAGTTCGCCTCGCAGAAATGCCCCGAGGGCCAAATCTAGTGATGAAGCGAAGGAACCTGCTGAACATACAGGGATATTGAGATTGAGGGGATTGCCATTTTCTGCTGGAAAAGATGATATAATAGAGTTCTTTAAAGATTTCGTGTTGTCTGAGGATGCTATTCATATAGTGTTGAATTCAGAGGGGAGGCCAAGTGGGGAAGCATTCGTGGAGTTTGCAAATGCAGAAGATTCTAAAGCTGCAATGGCCAAGGATAGGATGACGCTTGGGAGCCGTTATATTGAGTTGTTCCCTTCGTTTCCTGAAGAGATGGATGATGCAATTTCGAGAGGACGGTGATTTTTCTGACAATGCTCTTATTTGCTATTCTAAACCTGTTATGATTTCTTACCATGTTTCTCTTTCCAGCTGCAATCTTCTGTTAGGCTTTTATCTGATATGTCTAGTCTTTGATCGTGGATTGACGAAACTCATCGGCTACAAGTCGAATTTCGTCTGGACAGCTTAGGCCAATTAGATCATAGTTTTGCTCTATGGTAGCTGTAGAATTATTTACATTTTGTTAGTCAAAACTTGTGAGATGTACTCTTGTTGGGATTCTTTTGATACTTATTGGGTAAAAATAATGTATGAACAAGTTCTCGTTCGAATCTCATCGTTGGAAGCTTTTGCATTTTGTTCTAAATAGTTATTTTGATCTTTATTTAATGTTTTTGACCGACTAGATATGTCCATGTGAATGAATTGAAATGATGATGTGACATGTTCACGTGTGAGTAAGTGATGACTGATACAATATCGTGTCGAGAAAAATTTGGTAATACCTCCTCCCTAGGTTTTGGCAATAGCAATCCAATAATTTATGGAAATTCAATTGATCCTGGCAAAACGAAACGGTGAGAGCTAAAATGGTTTAAAAAAGAAAATGATTTGAAGTAACTATTTAAATAAATATTAAAAAATGAATTTTGACATTATAATATATTTTTTTCAAATTTTGCCGGTCCAATATAATTGAAATGTTGAGTAGGATGGATCAAGTGAAGTGATGAGTCCGGTTCAGTTTATACAATCATGAGATGGAAAGAGTACATTGGATGTCATTGAGAAAGTCAAGGGTGAAGGGTGTAGTACGTTAACACCATCATTATTGGACTCTAACTGCTTCCTTTGCATTCTCACGGGGGAACCATTGTGAAAGAAAAAACATGTTTTCCCCAGGCTTTTCAAAGCCCCAAGATTTGTGCTCAATTACAGTCTGAATTTCATTTAAAAAAAAATTACAGTCCAATTAGGTTTATCTTTCATCTATTTTTCTTTTAATTCTTTGCCGACGACACGTTAACATAAAGATTAAAATATAGTAATATTGATAATTTAGAGATATATATGTATATAATATTATTAAATTTAAGAATCATTTTAAAATGAGAGTCATGATTTAAAAATTAATATAAATTATTTTAAATATAAAAGTTAATTTAAAACGAAGATCATAATTTAAACACACGGTGTACAAATATCTCTTCTTTCTCCTTCCCTTTCCTCAGTACCTAATGCTTAGGGCAGCGGGCACCCCTGCCCAAAATTTTCCCACTCAAATATTAACGCTTAACACTTGTTTGTGAAAAAATCTGTCTCCCCTCACTTGAGTTCCATGTTCCATAACTCGACCTTCTTTCGGTTAATTTGATTTCCATTTATGTTTTACAACAAAATCTACGTTCATCCCTACTTTCCTTCAAGTTTTTTTATTGGACTGTAACAATTTTTCTCCTTTATGTATTTCTTAAGTACTTAATTTGATTTTGCTGCTGATCTGATACTTGGTTTTTCTCTCTGTATATCATCATCTTCAACCTATCCATTTCTGGTGTGTGCTTTTAGTATATTTACTTAGCTTTTTCTCCTTACTACTTTTCAGTCAAATTTAGTAGCATAGATTTGAAGTGTTCACTAGGTTTAACAGTTTCTTCTCTTGGATCTCTTCATTCACCCTGCAAATTTACTTGTTAAAGTGCTTCAAATTGTTCTCTCTTTCTGCCAGTTTTAGTTCTTCAAGTTTCTTTTTTTTTCCTCTTTATAATTCTCTTCCAATGGCACCCACCAGCAGAAGAGGCAAAGCAACAAGAAAAGCGACCAAGCGACTAAGAACTCGTCACAAAAGGAAAGTTGCACCAGTGTTGGAGGATTTGCCTTCCAACTCTTCCACCATAAGTTCAGATAATCTTTCCAAGATCAAGGGATTCGATATCGAAGGAGTTGATGATACCTCCACTAGTACTACTAGTCCATGCTCTACCCCTAAAGCCGGCGGTTTCGGATACCGGAGATCGATACATGCCCTCCGGCACCGAAGAAACAAAGGGTTGTCTCCAATTGCTCATTGCAAAGAACACCTATTGCTTTCTTTGCTCCTCCGGATTTAGAGCTCTTCTTCTTCTTTGCACATAGGGATATCTCAGTTGATCAATAGTTTAATGATTAGGTGTTTCTTCTATTTGATTGTCTTTGAAGTTTGATTTCATTGAGTACAGTTTTAAGAACTTCTTTTATGAGTGGTTCATGAATATGAGGGAGAAGAAGCAGAAGTTGGTAGCTATTTTGCTTACCTTTGAGGGCAAATTTATTGGGTTTTCAAATTTGTAGGGTATGCTAATCACTAAATTTGTAGGGTATTGCCGACTTTCGGAAGAGTTCAATATTGTAACATGTGGGTGTAATTTGAAGGGTGATTTTGGTTTGTTTAATCAACTTTAGAAAGTGAAAGAATTCATTCTTCTTCCTCCATTGTGCAAATCCTTAATTATCTCTTGCTTTGATAAACCTATAATCTTATTATATGCTTGATGACTCGTGCGGCATCTTATAGTGCAGTTCAAGGCAATAAGTTTTTAGTGAATATCACTTTGATTTGTGATAAAAATATTCTTTGTTTTTTTATAATCACCAATATATCTATTATTATTAATTCGAATTGAATACAATAGAGGTCTAATATGAAGATGATCTTTCTAAACCAACTTATTCTATTTGTAAACATTAAAACTCGAATCACTGACCTTATTTAAGATATTTAATATGTTATCTCCTTATGTCAATTGATTGTTGATTGCTTTTTTTCTATGTTTTTTTTGTTGGACACCTCAAACACACAATTACATGGAAACTCTTGTATAGATTAGAGAGTTGATTAATGGCTAAATTGGTGAAATTTGAGGGTCCCCACCCCCTAGAAAAACCCTTTGACTGTGATCTAAATTAATTAAAAAAAAGAGTTTCACAAAGGGTGTTTCCCCACATATTCTACTTTAGGAGCGATGAGACTTGAAATCTTTTGAAGTTTTACCCATTTTTTATTTGCTATAAACTGACCAGAATTCCATTGGGATGTTATGACAAAAGGAAAGGAAGCCATTCAAGTATAAGGTTTGAAGGTGGAGGGGGGAATTAAGTAATTAACCCATTTTTGGCAAGTAGTTGGGGAGTGAGAAAAAGAAAGCAAAACATTATTCAGATAAAGATGATGGTGTCAGATTGTGAGTGTCTGCCTGTCTGAGCTCACCCCAACATGGCTAAGAGAATCCAATGAACAGGCTCGTGCGGGTTTTTATCATTTCTTACAGTCCAGACAGAATCTCCAGACCAGATAGTTTTCATTTCTCGTATGTTTTATATTATTTGGAATTCAAAATCATAATAAAGTTATATTATTGGATTATCAATTTTATAATCATAACAAAGGCCATAAACAATTCCATTCTCTTTAAGCCATGACATGTGCAAGTGCAACTCAAACCCCGAGTTGAGTTTCCTTTTTTTCTCTCTTTATAATAATGAAGTATGTTCATTGATACAAGGTAAGACGTGACCCTAGGCAGTCATTGTCTATCGTCCTCAATTTATCATCTTTGTAATATCATTGGATATGATTTTATTTCTAAATCAAAAAGTGTGAATCATATAATGCATCGTAACTCAAATTTTATCATGGACATATTCAAAAATTAATTTTTAGTCTATTCCTATTCATTTGTTGGGTTTGAGGGAAAAATATAATTGATTTTAGGGTAAAGTACATAAATGATCGACTATAAGAATTTGTTTTGTTGAGTTCCCTAACTATTAAAAATTAAAAAATAGTTATCCGACTATTCATTGTGTTCCAAACTAGTCATTTTTCGTTAAAAATTTAACGACAACCTGCTAACTAAGATATGATTAAATATGATCTCATGATCTCAAACGACTATCATATCTCAGTTAGCATGTTAATATCGAGCTCAAACGGAAGATGACGAGTTTGGAACATAATGAATAGTAGTGTGACCATCTTGTAACTTTTAATAGTCAAGAGACTCAACAAAGCAACTCTCTGAGGATCATTTTGTAACTTTTAATAGTTAGGGGACTCAACAAAGTAATATTCAATAGTCGGGGACCATTTGTGTACTTTATCATTGACTTTAATTAAATTTATTTAGCATACTATAACACTCTTTAGTGCAAGGGACATTAATCCTCAACTTACTATATACGCTGGTTACAGACGCTACTCCATACAATATTTTCCTAACTATTATCTCTCTTATACAATCTCCATTGGTTACACTGATACAAGAATGATCTTTCCTCACAAAACTCACACCAATACTGTATATATGTAAATGGATTTGTGATTTGAAGTTCTCTCTTGTACAGCAAACTAGTCGACAACTATAAGGCTTTTATAGGACAAGACATATCATTGTCTTTGAGTAGCTCTCGAGGGATATGGAGTCATCAGAGTATTAGTGGAAATAATCTCAAAGTTGGTTTAGAAGGTTCAAAGGCTTCATCTCAAAATGTGTCTCCTAGTTGAAATAGGAAGACTTCCACGACGTAATAAATTTTTGGTTAAAGTACACAAATGGTCTTCCGACTATAGAAGGGTTACTTTGTTGAGTCATCAACTATTAAAAGTTACAAATGGTCCACTGACTATACGACGTTGCTTTTATGAGTCCCTGGACTATTAAAGTTACAAAATAGTAATTCGACTATACATATGTTCCAAACTCGTCCTTTTTTGGTAAAACAATTGACGGTCGTATGAGATGGACATTAACATGTTAACTAAAATATGATAAGTTGTTTGAGATTTTAGGATCGGATTTTAGCATATCTCAATCATCAGGTTAACGTCTAATTTAGACCGTCGTCAATTTTTAACGAAAAATGACGAGTTTGGAATATATGAATAGTCGAGTAATCATTTTGTAACTTTTAATAGTCGAGTGGCTCAACAAAGCAATACCCTATAGTCGGGAAACCATTTGTGTACTTTTTACCCTAGTTTTTAGGTTGCCTCCGAGAGCTTGAAGTATCTTCAACATACTTCAGTTTTCATCTTCATTAAGTGTAGTCCAAATAGGAATAATCATCTGAAAAAATTACAGTCTAATTGAACAAGATCTGCTAACAAATTATTAGGGTTCAAACATATTTCAGTTTTCATCTTCTTTTTTTTCTTCTTTTCTCCTACAATCATATTACATTTAGTACTAATTATTAGTGTGTTGGGTGCAACTTGCAAGAGCATCGAAGTCACAGCCAA